TGTCCCAGCACAGTCATTTACGGGACACAATGGGCTGAGAACCTTTAACTGCCAAAAGCTAAACGCAGAAGTGAAAACTAGATGCTGCTCTCGGGAAAAAGTGATCTATTTGGCTTAGTACCATTTAATGATTTTAAAAGATTTTGAAATATGAAAGATCTGGAAAATTACTTAGTAAAACATGTCATTGATGCAGACGGAGATACCAAGATGTGAAGCCTGCAGCTGTCTTCCCATCCCCAGTGCAGTGCAGCGCAGGGAGCGCTGCTGACAGCCCAGTGAAGGCTCAGGGCAGCCTTCGAGAGGAAAAGGGGTTAATCAGAAGATGACACTGCTTTGGGGATCCAAAATGCGCAGGTAGAGACAACAGGATGAGAGCATTCAGGAAAGCTGGTATTTTGGGTTGGTGAAAAAGCAGGCAGAACTGCTATCAGACACGTGACTTTTCTAAAATGCCAGTGTGTCCCACGCCAAGATCAACCCGGAACAAAACCAAACCCAATCAGAACGTTTTGCTTAAGTCTCCCATCGCTGTATTTCTATTTCTGAATGCCTCACCTCACGCAGCCTGCTGTGTCTGTAAAGGAACAAACGGCAAGAGGTGCCACAAGGGCAGAATTTGTGCAGTCCCTCTGCTATTATAAGCAACTCAAGTGTTATTCCAAATAGCATAATGGGGAATCTTGAAGTTTAGTGTTTCACTGCTGCTTGCATCTAATCTCTGCCATTTCCCTCAGGCACAAAGGTGGATCTGTAGCCAAGAATCCACTTAATCCAGCCTGCTAGACTCCCAGCTAAAGCATTCCAATGGTTATAAAGGCCAGAACACCATAAAGTACACTGCTTAGTATGGATGTTCTGCATCGAGTCAAAGGCATGTACCTTCTGGGCACAGCCCCTTGAAAATTAAGAGTTTTGTATGTGTTTGTGAAGCTCATTAGCAGCTTTTAGATGGAGAGAACGTGGCTAACGGAACCAAGGCTTACAAAGGCTCACTGGATCTACAAAGCTCATAGTCTACAGTCTTCTGAGTTGTTCTTCCACGTCTGCTGGTGTTTACAGACTGCACCAAGACTGGCAAAGGTAGATGGCTTTATTACTTGCACAGTATTCTCACTGCTAGTCTGGCAGACCCTCCACAGCTGAGGGAAATACTGACAATTCCTACCCAGAATACAAGTGCGGTGTCTGTTATCCTTCACGATCAAATAATCTGGTCACATTACCTGGAAAATTTAAGTGAATCAGAAGATCTACGTACTCCCTTGTGCATAAATCAATTTACATTTCTACACGCTGCAGTTAAGAATGAATCCTTATTAGCCTGTGAAAGAAACTCTGTTTCATTTGATAGGTGTTCCACAGCTTCCACACTTGCTCAGAGCAGTGAGAACTGGATTCCAGAATGCCGGAATGCCGGAAAGGACACAGCTGAAAAAGAACTAGAGCTCGGTCACCACGTTACACACTTCTCCATCAGCTTACAGGCACTGAACAGCCAGTTTGTCAAGGGTACTGAAGTATGCAATTTGCATATGCCTAAACATCTTTAAGGATCTAGGCTTGAGGAATTTATAATTTGTTTTTGAATGCTGGTTATACATAGATGTGCTCGATCAGATCTGGAAGCACTGAACATGTAAATACATCTTCCAGTTTAACTACTGAGATGCGAAGGAGAAACAGTAACAGCAGACTGTCGCTATCAGACCTGAATTTCATAAAAGAAACAGGGATAATACATTTTTAACTTACAGAAGCAGTCTGCTGAAGCAGCTCCACAGGATTAAGGGAAAAAAACACAGGGATAATCTTAAGTTTTAACTAATCTTTCATGAGGATACCGTCTCAACTGTATTTCAAGGCTGTGTGCATTCAAGATTGTGTGCATTCACACGGAAGAAGAGACCATAGCTGTTTTATAATGCATAAAAAACTAAAAGGAAAAGGCAATTAAACTGCCTAAGATAAAATCCATCTGTTGGGCAGCTGGAAAGAGGGCTGCACACCCGCATCACATGATCCAAACAACCTGGGGATGTAGTCCCACTTACCCTTCCAGTCTTTACATAACTAAGGATCTCTCTCTCTCTCTCCCTCTCTCTGCAGTATTTCTTCTGTCCTGGAGAACACATTCAGGAGTGAAAAAAGTGATTTCTGTTCAATAGTATGAAGATCTCAGCTTATGGCAGCATTAAAATCTGCAGGAAATGCTATGGCAACGTGTTTCCATGAGGACACATAGCCAATAGTTATGGCATGTACCTATATATCTGACATTTGAAGATACAAGAGTCGAGTGATGTATTTTTTTTAAACCTAAATACAGCTCAGACAGTATGTATTCTCATTAATATGTATCTAAGCACTCCACAAAAGAAAATAATCACAGGATTGAACTAGGGATGAGTAAGGACTCTGGCCATAAGCTGGCAGCTCCTTGTACGATAGTGACAGAATAGAAAAATCTGTTAATATTGGCTGGTCATAGCGTCACTAGTCGGATGGAGCTAGGAAAGACATAAATACAACCCAGGTTATATCGGGCGATGCACTTAAAGCAGAGATGTGGAAGTATGTATGGCACAAAGCACGGGTGAGACCTCTGGAATACCATGTATGCTTCTGCTCACCCTTGTCCTATAAAGATAAACCCCACTGGAACAGATGCAGAGAAGAGCCATTTGGGAAAAAACCACCTACCTGACAAGGGAGGAAAGAGTTTGGCTTGTGTAAGTCTCCCAGAATGAAGGCTCAGAGGCTGCAACACTGTTCTCTGTAATTGCACTTAGGCCAGAAGTTAACATCACGGGCAGATAAAATAAGCAGCACTAGCACAAGAACAGATGGGGACAGGCTGTCTGTAAGTTTGATTTGGAAATCAAAGTGTTGTAACTCTAAGAGGACTAAGACGCTGGGTCATTTTTCTGAAGAGAAAAGGTTCAAAATATTCATAAAACTGGAGACATCCCTGCGTTTCTGAGTACCTTCAGAAGGCAGCTGAAAGGCAACACTAAGAAAGCAAGCAGCAGTCTCAGATTTGTCTGCGTGTCTGAAAATTCCTTTACAGCTAACAACGCGCTCCCAGCTCCATCCCCATCCCAAAGGAAATACTAACTGTAATGTGATATGGTATGGTTGACTCCTTCTGACTCGGGGATTTGTACAACGTTGCCAACCTGGTTAAAGAAAAAAACAGATAATTATGATTAGTGAATACAGTAAGAAAAATTCCAAGTAACCAAATGACCAGCCCCAAGTTTTCCCACCATCATGGGGTAGATGACCAGTGGAATTTTTCCGTATGTGTTTTTTAAACATCCACTTAAACTGTGGATGCCAAATTCCCGTCTTTTTGACCCGTCAGCTCAAATACAATGTAGACCTACTGAAAAGAGTGAATGATTAGTTCGCCTTGTTTCATCACAGTCTTTGATCACATTTTTAGAACAATATTCATTAGGAATCAATTCCAAACGCCACTTCCCTTAAATGCAAACAGAAAAGGGTTTGGAGCACAATTGTTTCCTGCTCATTTGTTCGCTGACCTCGCAAGGTGGGAGATACCCTTAAGAATTGTAATACTTCTCAGGAGGTTTTTTCTAGAGGTTTCACGAGCCTGTCAATATAACCTAGTGGATGGAGAGTAAGATGTTCTATTTCTAAGGCTGACCTTGAGAAAATCGTTTCTATTTCTCCTGTAACACCTCCTCAATTTTGTGCGTTTAGGCTCTAAGCAACGCATCGTGATTTGTGCTTATACAGCACCTAGCCCAGCAGTACGCTTGTGTAATGTAGATGGGAGATAGCAGCTCAGGAACATGGGATTTTCCAGCCAGTCCCAGGGCTGCTAGTCTGCACTATGCCCAACTTCCCAAAGCTTACACTTCCTTAAAGCTGCTGTAGCAAGTGTTCTGCTCTCTGTAGCAAGACACCTTGCCAAAGATCCTGTTAATTATTTGTTTTTTTTTTTTCTCCCTGAGGTGCCATTCTATTAGAGGGTTTTTTTTTTTTCCTCCCTGAGGTGCCATTCTATTAGAGAGCACGTAATTACAGCCTGAGGAACACTGCCACTTCACATTAGCTACACAGGGAATTCCTCAGAACATTGAAGTGGTGGGTTATACTTTACAGAACACCCTAAATCTGAAGCTGCAGAAGCCATGCCTTTACAAGCGCTCAGCTGGAGCTCTGCTACATGCCTCTGACTCAACAGGATCTTTCCTCACAGCAATGAGAACCCTTGGAATTAAGCTCTGACATTTTCAGTAGTAGAGAGAAAGAGATGGGTATCATAATTGGCCAAAGCACAACTAAAAAAACCCAAAGCTAAAGCAAATAGATTCTCAAATAGTCATCTTTGTGCCTCAATAACCTCATGTCGGAACAAGAACAAACCCACGATGGATCAGCAGGTATAGGTGGCTCATGTAAAAATGCAACAGAATCCAGCTCTTTCCGTTTTTTGCCAATAGGCAGCTGCAATCCGAACTGCTGTCCTCTGCAGGCCCTGCTCCACATCAGCTGCACATTCAGAGCAATAAATAGAACATGCTTTTCTATCTTCGCCTTGCTTTCTGCAGCCTGTACCTACAACCCTCCTAGCTGTGTTGCAGAAGAAAAAAGCTCTTTACTTTTGATACATAAAATTAAATTTTGCTCACTCTGCAATCACGTGGATGCAACTTCTGTCTTACTAAGGCTGTTAACTAATCAGTGATGTTAATTCCAAATTAAACAGCCTGCTGTAGTCATTCTCCACTGCCTTCAAACTTAGAATTTAAAAACCAAAATTCCACCAGAAAGCACCACTGCATTTCTCTTTCCAGTTTAACAAGCAAAACTGTGCACAACAACATTCCAGTAGCATTTTTGTTCAGTTTGCAGAAAAATAGGGAACTGAAGCAAGGCTTCTTAGTCTCAAGTTGCTGCACTGTGGTACTATATACAAGATAAATTTAACTGACCAGGAAAGAGAAGTGAGCTTGCAAGATAGTAAAGAGGGCGAAAAAAGAAGCAGGAAACAGGAAAGATCTCACTGCAACTGGCAGAACTTCACACTGTTTTTAGAAGGATCATCTTCACTCCTTCTAAACTCGTCCTCTGTCGGTCAGCTCTGCGTTGGGAATAAATGCAGCTCTCTCTCTGCCTCTCCCTTGCTGCCTGCACAGCTGTCCAGTTCTGCAGAACCATCCTGCTGCATTCAATGCAGGAACGTCCCACGGCTGCCACTGAGGCTCAGGGGTCAATAGGCCCACAGTCTGTTCTCCTGAGAATCACTATCTAGGTAGAAAACCTTCTTTGGCATCTTTACTGGGTCTTTTAGGCCCCGGTCAGTAAGATGCCAAAGAAATTTTACTCCCTTCTTACAAAATGTAGATAGCAAAATACAAAATTCCACTTAGCCACCAGATCCTGAACTCTTGTGTCGGAGCAACTGCCGTTAAGACACCGCATTTTGATGAGCCACGGCACCTCGTCAGAAGTACGGCACGGCAGCCAGCGGACCGTGCTGAGGAGGAGGAGCGTGGCAGTCCAGCCCACACTTCGGCTGCACGGCAAAGCTCTTCGTGAGCCTCCGTTGCCTGAGACATGGCAGACCAAGGCCACAAGTCAAACTCAAATCCCTGCTTGGCCACCAGTGCCAGGCTGAGAGAGACCCTGGAATGTCGCACTCATCAGTACTGTTATTAGGTACCTCACCAGCCACGTTTTCACTTACCTCTGAGTGTTGTCCCAGTGGAAGATTAAACGGACAGTAGCAGCATGTCCCCAGCTTTCCCCTGGGTGACACAAAATGACACACCATTTAATTTCTCTCCTGTAACAGCATCAGCAGCAGTAAACTCAGCTGAAATCGGGGCGGTCTTTCAAAAAAAACCCACGATTAAAACATATATCCCTCACTTGCAGGAACGAATACACACAAGGATTTCACAACCAGTTTATCAAATATACTCAGACAAGGAGCAACCTCTGTACGTGGTGTGTTTTATAGAAAGCTTGATGCTCGGGGCTACATATCCCTAGTAAGGGACAGGTACTGCACCATTCTTGAAAACGGGCAGCATTAAGAAAAGATTTTTCTAATTACTCCTGAAGAAGTCGAGTGAGTATGTCTAAATATTGCTTCGAAATGGCAATATTCTGTCTCTCAGGCATAATTACGAGCAAACATCACTCCCTTTGGGATACAAGCTTTGGGAGAAAGTCAATGATTATTAAAGTATTAAGGGCCCCTGCAGCAGCCTTCTGCTTCGACAGCAAACTGCAGAAGAATACAACCAGAAGCGAGGGGCGGGGAGCTGATGGAAAGAGAGAAGGAAGTTTGGGTTGTTAACCTATTTCAGGGGAAACAGTCCTACTGTTTCAGCTCACACCTGACCACAAGCTCAGTCAATTTATAGACTTTTTTATTGGGTGTTTTTCTCTGTTTACCCCAGGAGACTGTCAGCGGTCCCAAGACAGATTGGATTTTAAAACAGTGATTTTGGTGAAGTGCTGCAAGCCTCTCCTCTTCACCTGCATGCTGCCCTGTAACTTCCGAATTGCGCGTTGCCCTCCATCGTGTCACCAGCCCCACATGCCCCGTGTGCTCTGGTACTCATTACAGCACAGAGAAGGAAAAAAGATGCAACTGCAGTGAGGACCTAGACCCCCTGGGCATCTTGCCAGACCTCGCTCCACTCTATCTGGGTTGAGATTAAAGATTTTTGGCTATCAGATACGGTTCCAAGTCAGAGCTCAAAACACATTTTACGATGGGTACAAATTCCACACCAGAATGTTTCCAACTGTATTGAATATGAGAGAAAAATGCTACTGTAAAATGAGGTATTTCTCAGTTAAACTGGCTGTAGATTAGTATTTGACCTCCTTTCTAAATATATCCAGTAGAAATGTCTAGGAACACCCAGCTTAGCTATCAGTGGGAAAGAAAGCTGTCCTCTTCATAAAGCTCTTGACTTAATACCTTGCAGCATCTGTGCTGCTCCCTCCGCCCCCCACCCCCCAAATTAAGAACTTCCCTTCTGCTAGGAAGCTGAATACAAGTTTAGAGATTAATGCTCTTGTGAAATCTTAGAAAAGGCAGTTTCTCAGGCTTACCAATCAACGGGAAATATCATTTAGGGGAGGCAATAGGATTGATGTAACTTGGGGTTTTGCTGCTGACCCCTCCCTCAAGAGTTCCTGGGGCTACAACCAACCATGGAGGAGCAGGATGAGACTGTTGAAAAGAGCATCCCTTAGAGTGGGTGGGTGGTGAAGATCACCTGTAATCCACCTGCTCAACACCTGCAGCGAATCCAGGGAATAAACTCTCATCGAAGTGGAAACACCTCTGTACCACTCTGAAACACTCAGCCTGAGGTACCGCTGTTTCGGGTGAGGGAACGGCTCTCTCTTGGCTTAAGCATTTCACCAATTGATACAAAATTTCATTTTTGCAAAAGTACACACTACCCAGTCACTGCCCGTTCTGGTGAGAGTCACAACCAGTTCATGGTCAGTATGAGGTTATGTCAAATTAAGTATTTGTAAAAGAAAACAAGCACAGGACAATACATGGTATCTGAATTATAACCTACTCCGAATGTCTTCATGTTCTCTACTGTCCCTGTGACCCAATAAACACAACAGCTCTCAAACAATGATGGCTATTGAAAAAAAAGACAGAATCTATTAGCTTTAAGTGACTTTGTAGCCAGAAAGGCTCCCTAAACTTATACATCAGAGAGCAAGAGGCAAAAAAGGGTCAGATACTGGAAGCTGGGTCTTCATCTGCTTGCACAGCTCAAAATTTCACATTCCTGAAGGAGACGGTCAGTTTTATCTTACATCTGTGCGGAATGGTTCAATGCCTGCACAGACACTGAGAACATCTTTGCCTTCGTAATGCCCCCTTCTTCCTCCCCCAGAACAAGGGGGTTGTTACTCAGTTCACAGAAACTGAAGTTGTGGACAGAAAATTTGTGCCCTGAAGTAAGATTTAAACACAGCTTTTTCTTAATTTTTCAACATCTCTGCTTCAGCAGAACCGTTCTCTTCTCCGCTGTGACCGCAGCAGAATAGTCTATACGAGGTACAGGGCAAACTGGAGCAGGCTGTGAAGAACAAACTCACTATGGGCAGGCTGCAGTTGAGGATCCCACCCCGGGCCTCCCTCTACGTCCTGACTGCGGAGAGCAAGAGCTCCAGCTACGCAGCACAAACACCTTTGCACAGAATTAATGGGACACAGTCGAGCGTAATGACAAAATAAACAGTGTAAACTGTTTCGGAGAGGCAGTGAATGATTCGCAGGGAATTTAGGACATGGCAGCACAGTTTGAGGTGTGGAACCAGTAAGCTGTGTTCTGCTGGTGCTTTAACCTTTTCACCTCCCCATTACGGCTGGAGGTTCACTGCCCCTGTGTCTATCCCCACATTTTTTGCATGACCATTCACTAGCCAATTTCAGTCTAAATTACCTGTTTTATCAGAGATTTATTTATTATTTAAATAGCTCAAGCTTACCAGGCCCACTCTGGGCAGAAATGGATTGGGAGACAATCACAAACAGCTCAGCCAGCGTACAGGATGCGGCAGTGACCTCCAGCAGGGATAGTGGCCTCCTTAGCTGACACAGCTACAGCTGGAACAGCCCAAGATCCTCAGGGGAAGGCTGCCATACATTAGCTGCACATCTAAAACCTAGTTACTGGCAGTTCTTAGTACCCAGTGCTTCCCCATAAAGGGTGATTCAGGCATCCTAAGGAATACTGACAGATCTAATATCCAGTTTAGTATTAAAAATTTTGGTTGAAAAAGGAAAAAAGAAAATCCAGCAACACCCTCAATGTGAGTTTCTGCAATCTGAAAACGCTGTACCTTTGAAAAATATTTGTAACCCCTTTCCAAAAATCTACCCAGGATTCTAATCTGCACACTCAGTTCTAATTGAGTTTAGAATACAGCGTGGTAGCTGTTGGTCATAATCACAAGGCCGACACAGGCTGCAGAGTTCCACACTGCTCGCAGTTCCAGGCCGGTCTGATATTTTCACCATGAATCCTGCTACACTGAAAAACTTCAGCACACAATTTAATTTCCTTTGTACACCACGACAGAAGAAAGGCAGCTGTACAGCTGAAGGTTACCTCAATTTCCAACTCACAAGCTAAACACCTACCTAAGGCAGGTACCAGTGTGGACTGGCTTTGTCCAATCCTTGTTGTCATTTGGTTTGTCAGGACCACCTACAGGAGGAAACAGAAGCAAACAAGAAATCTCCAGAAAAGCAGCATACTGGTGGGAGGGAAGAGAGGGATTTTTCAAAAAGCTTTACTTATGAAGTAGCTACTCCGGCAGAACTCTTGCCAACTGTAACGAAGCTTCCCTGTTAACAAGAAAAAACTGTACAGGTGCCTCATCCTTTCTCAACAGCCAAAACAAGAGAACCCTGCAATATGTGTTTTCAGTTCGCATGGAAGGTGCCACTCAAGACACTAAAAGAAACCTAAATTTCTCCCTTCCCGAGGGATGCAAACTCTACCCAACTTGCATATTCCACCGTATTTCTACTAAATTCTCTTTGATCTATATTTAGATGCTCATGACTTGCACTAGCCCTCTATAAAGAGACAGCTTTCAGTCACTGGCATAAATGAACTTGGTGGTGCTGCTCAGAACAGGCATAAGCCTAGTGATTAACAGAATTTCTGCACCTTGTAGTCTAAAAATGCGCAAGTGGGTACAATACAAAGCAGAATGAAAGTGAACAGACAGAGCGGGGGAGTGTTTTCGCAGCACGAATCGCTTGTAGGAGGTTCACAGACAGTCTAGGTTAGATCCCTGGTAGAAGTGGGGGTGGGTGAGACAGAAAAGAGCCAGGAATATTAATTGCAAAGTTCATTAAAAATGAAAAATAAAAAATTGTACCTATCTTAATCCCTAGGGGCTTCTATTGTTTGGTATGGTTGTATGATTCTTGCTTGAACAGTCAGAAGTGTGTGCTAGAGCAAGCAATCCCACTGAGCACGCAGGGCACACGCCAAAACATTTATATAGCCGAAAGCCCCAGGACATATACTGTGTACTTTGGAGAAGCAAACTCATCATATATGGATGGTAACAGCCCTATAGAGGCTCCCATCTCGCTGCTGCCGAAGGGCGGGTCTGGGCATCCTAGCCCAGACACGGAGTTCAGCTTCAGAAGCAAAAGGAACTTACTTCCCACCACAGCAGGGCATTCCGACTGCCCAGCTTTGCTGCCTGACAAGCAACCTCTGGCACGCACGCTGGATGTAGACTGCTTGCAAACTGCACAGAACTAACTCAAAAACTAACATGAGGGCCACGCAGAGCTAAATAATTTGTGAAGCTCAGTGACTGATCACTTCTTTAGCAAGTGTTTATTTACCAAGCGTTGTACTAAACTGCTCGCAGCCAACAGAATTAAGTGATTTGTGTTTCCTTTGACCAAAGAAAAACGACTGTACCATGACAAGTGGTGCTACTCAAGGTCACCCACCAGGTACCGGACCGAAGCGCAGGCTGCACGGATCAAGCAGTCAAACGCTCGGCTCCCTCGCTGCCCATACCAGCAGGACGAAGCTTCCTAATTCACGTCGGGGTGCGAGAGGGTATGCTTTCAGCAGCAAGCCCAATCGCCTCGCCCAGGCGGAACGTGGAGCTGTGCTCTCTCCCTTCCTGCAGCTATCAGAGGAAGCACAAGGGGAGGCTTATTTTTAGCGGTTACAAACAAAAGCCAATTGCGCAAGAGAGTTGCTGGTGACAAGGTTGCAAGTCACCTGGAAACAGAGTCACAAGCACCATTTTGAGACTGTGTAAGCCCGGATTCCTGAACAATGCTTTTCTGTGCTGTAAGAGTTGCCAAAACAACTTCTGGAAGAGAAGCAGCTTCCCAGTGCCACCTGCTGGCTGCGGATCTGCTGGCCTCCATCTTGGCGTAAATGAGGTGGAACCAGCGCCCAGGAAGGTAGCTGTGGGTTCCCACGGGTGCCAGAAGAGCAAGCCAGACTAAACAGATAAAGCCTTCCTCCCTATGAACAGCTCCTCTGCTAAGACAGTAGTTTATTTTTAAACGAAGAGTGGAAAATTTTGTTGGAATCGCTAAATACTCTGATGTATTATAATGTGCTCTGTGGGTAAAAGGCAGCAGAGCAGCGTTCCTTCTCCAACCAGATCATTAAAGATGATGTGAAACAGCATGCCAAGTGGATATGCTACCATTTAATTAAGACCCGCAGGATGCTTTTAACGCAAATTTTACTTATTTTGGCAAGTCTAGGGATTTTCCACCTCAACAGTTTTGCCTGTGCAATCCATCTATATTTACTGACCGAACTGCCAAACACCAACACAGAGGACATTCCTGAAGGTTTATTTTGCTATTTGCAGACAAGGACAAATCACGTTTCCTTAACTCCTTGTAATCTGTTTATTCCAAAGCAGCCTCTTTTGCGATTTAAACCCGCCCCAGCCTTACCGCCGACGTGTGATCGTTCGCTATGATGATCAGCTGCTGTGCCAGCCCGTTCAAAAGCCGTGTGCGAAGGGAGAGGTCCTCAAAGTCATGGCGAAAAGGAAACGCAATTCCATCAACTACCACCAGTCGGACCTAAAGGCAGAAGGAAAACACACCATTACTATCCTGCAAACAAACGACAAAAAGCAGTAAGACCTCTTCTTAAATGCAGTGGAATGTTTTATATAAGGTGATGACAGTCTGTTATGTCACACTGAGAGGTGCACGACAGCACAACACCTATTGTCTCTGTGCACATCGGAGACAGTCGACCCTCCTCCAAGCGCCTCCAGCTCCAAAGGCACCAGTACACTGCTAACGGCAGTACTGCGTGATGCACAGACACCAGCTTGGATCAAGCTGTGCTGGCTGAAACAACAGGCTGCACTAAGCTCTCCCATTCGTTAACTCAGCACAGAGCTGCCATTCGGACTGTTTCCAGTTCCAGAGCTCGGTCGCACACAGCTAACCGACTTCTCTCTGCAGCACCTGGTACAGAATACAAAATAGCAAAGCTGGATTTGAAACCCTGCAGAAGAGAAGCTGGTGAAAAAAATTAATTCAACATCAGAATTGTATTCCAGTCGACTCTCCACAAACACTAATTTATTTCACCTTATCCCTCAAAAATTAAATCCAAACCAAAATTAGGATACACACTGTCTGTAGCCACTGTTAAGATAACTCATCTGGTTCTAAGGCTCCTATCAGCGATCTATCTCAGGAACATGGATTTTAACAGATGCTTAAAGATATCCCAGACACCATGCAATGGAGCCGAGTATCTATCTTGCCTCAAGATGTTTGCTTTGCTTTACCCAATTATTTCTTTCATAGCAGTATTAGCTGAAGCTAAAGCACAGTGCTGCTGCTGTCTCATCACCCTCAAGACACTACATAAACATTAGTCTGGGGTTTTGATTTATTCCAATTTCAATTGTAGCTGTTTTGATGACCCAAGTTTGTCTGAAATACAGAAGGGAGATGGATAGTCTTACAGCCTCTGCATGTTCAGATGCCACTCAGTCCTGGGTATCTACAAGTTCTTGCATTAATGCACAGGATAACAAATCGGAAACAACACAAGAAAACCAATTTTCTGTATTATCAATTTAGCTCACTGTTGGGAATGCGCTTTGTGACTGGAATACACAGGCCTCCAGCAAACGTCACTGTGAAATGGCCCTGGGCCTCCAACTGGAAAAAAAAATAAATCTTGACTTGAAAAAGAAGATTAAATAGTTAGAATTAAAAGAAGATATTCTTCTGTTTTCTCCTTTTTCCTTATTCCTGCAAATTCTTTTCTACCAGCCTCTACATCTTCCTCACGCATAATTTTTTTTACTTTAGGAACAATCAGTTTAACAGTATAAACATGACTCATGCTAGAAAGGAATGTAGAGGTGGTTATATAACTTGCCTATCAGATGAGTATGTCCAGGTAGGATGCAATTTAGTTTATTTTTCTCCCAGTTGCACCTGGTATAAAATAGCAAACCAGTAGACTTAGAGTATTCAGAGGTAGGCTATATGGGCAACACATGCCTTCTCCAGGTCAGTATGTCTCTACTAGACCTTGAATAATTAGGTTTATTATGACAGAAATACTTTATAACATAGTCTTTTTAGTATTATTGGTCTTTCTCATATTATTAACAAGATCTCAAACTAATTCATGTTTCCAAATGACACTCTCTGCAACTATGTCTCTCTCAAACAAAACCTGGAGGTTTCCTGTGGTCCCAGCTCCAGGTCTGCACAGAGGGATCAGACTAATTTTAATGAGAGCTGGACTGCAATGAGCAATCTGTCAAGTCACTTATAGCCTGTCCAAGGAATCACCAGAAGGTCTCGCGGTTCTCCTGCAACCTTCAGCATTTCAGGCTCCAGGCCAAGCACAGATAATCAGCACAGATGGTACCAAAGAACTGCAGCCCAGTGTAACTGCGCTAATGAAGCCATGTACTTTCCACAAGAGCAAACACAACAGGGCACCGTTAGTACCTGGCAGAGAAAGGGAAGTACCAGACCACACTCAACAAAAGTAAGACTCCCATCTGCGCTTTCAAGAACATAACAGCTTCCAAAAATGGAAATCATATGCAAAAGGCTGTCTAACTGAACATCACTGATTTGTGAGCTGTTAGAATGAGGCAGGAGTCATCTTCTCCAAATCCTGTTAGGGAATGATCTGCTGTGCAGAGTCTATAAATCTGGAGAGGTGGTGACAATCTGCCTTACAATAGCTTCACTAAGACACTAGGTACTGGGAAACTTTTTGGCTGTAGTCCATCCAGGAGTCAAGCTGCAGGCTTTGGTTGCTTATAGCAACAGAAGATATACTGGAAAGAAGGAGAAGAGTCACTTTCTGGATGCCAAGATGGTGCCGGATGCTTCTGGTCCTCCATGATCTTCTAGGGTTAAAGAAAAAGGCACTAAGGCTTTCTGATGCCTCTGCATCACAGTCATCACCCGCACAGCTGGCTCAGAGCCTCTTCTGTAAAGCAGTTTTGTGATGGTTCCTAACGCAGTGCTCACAGAAATGTAACAACACATGGCAACATAGATCCAGTATCCTCACCTCAATGCGGAGATTCAGGATGACAGCAGCAGCAGTAGCAAAGGCAAATTACTCTCAAGAGTAATTGGGATGGGAACGAAAAAGCAAACAAACGAGCACAGTTTACATTTGTACTCTGGCATCAGCCACTATATTACTGCTCAGCTGATGAGATACCAGGGTGTTACTCGTGTTACTCTTACTGTAACAGATACACATCCCAGAAAATCTTTAGTGTGAAGATGAGTGATATCTTCTGATAAGACTGCAATAACCCTTACCTTTGAATGCTCTGACAGAAAGTCTGGGAGGAGGTAGACCTGTGCAAGAAGCTCTATGTAGTCACGGCAACGGAAGTAATATATATGAGAAAGGATACTTTCAAGAGAGAAAGTCTCCAAAGCTTTTAGATGATCTGAGAATAAACAAACAGATGAGTAAATGAGTCAGAAGTCTGCACTAGCACACTGCTGCTTCCATCATTCTACCAAACTGTGCCTTCCACATATAGCAACAGCCAAACCCCCGGAAACAGTCAAGGTAAAGAGTGGGGGAAACATACCTTCCATCTGGCTTGAAAGTCGAGAAGGTGGTGAGCAGATGCTATCTCAGCATTTGCACACAGGTACACCGGAGCCTCCAAGGGAGTGCTCCAAAAATGAAAGATTTATTTCCGAAAGAAGAATTTTCCCACTAAATCACTTTCAAGCCCGAACACCACCAGAAGACAACAGTGACTATTAATCATCCATTGTTTAATGTACAGGCAGCAGCTCATTTAATATGGTGTCATACTACCTCTGTTCAAACAGAACTTTGCTGCATAAATCACTCTAAGAGTAACATAAAAGTCATGTCAGTATCCCAAACAGACTGATGATTTATAGAATAAAACTATTCATAAATGCAACCTGGCTCTATTGACCTCATGAAGGAGCTGAATTCCAGCTACAGTTTTACACTAGGAGGCTTCAGCAGCAACACAGCCTTAACAAATTCTACTATTCCTCTTCTCTTTCCCCAGCTGCTCTTCAGTCACTGTGTTGCAGCTGTATCATCCCTCAGTTTCGCTGATAAGAGTTATGTTTGGGTTTTGCTGTAAACTCGATCATTAAAGTGCGGGGGGGGGGGGGGGGGGGGTG